GGTAGAGGGTGGGAAGGGGTAGACTGGGGTTTCAAAATTGTAGAATAGATAAACAAGATTACACTGTATAGCACAGGGAAATATACACAAAATGTTATGATAAATCACAGAGAAAAAAATGTGACAATGAGTGTGTATATGTCCATGAATGACTGAAAAATTGTGCTGAACACTGGAATTTGACACAACACTGTAAAATGATTATGAATCAATAAAAAATGTTAAAAAAAAGTTCATATCCAGGATTTTATTTTAATGGGTATTAGAAAGAAAACTAAGTAGCACATCAAACCCAGGATTTCATTGATATTAGCCTTGTGATAAGCCTAATTTTATAAGAGACTCAATTTAAAAACAGATACAGAGTAATATTAAGGCAGAAATCAGGTTAGTGGTATATTAACATCTGATAATGGTATCTGATGAAAAAGCACACAGGCTTTGGAGTCACGCAGAGCTGGCTTCAAGACCCAGGTCTACTGCTTCCAGTTGCTGGAACCATGGGAAAGTTACTAACTTCTCCGAACCTTTATTTCTCCATCTGTAAAGTGGGAACAATAGCACTGCCTAAGATGATAGGGTACTAACATCCCTGCACCAGGGGACCTCAGCAGTCCCCAGTCCATCACCACCCTCCAGGCTGCCCCCACTCCCCCATCTGCACTGCCCTCATTCATGTCTTTCCCCAGCTCCTCTACCTCATCCTCCCTAATCTAGCTGAGATCCACATCTCTGGGCATGATTGTGGGGCCCAGAGATTCTCCTCACAATCCAACTCTAGCATGCGAATTCCTTCTGCCTCCTCAGTTGTATTTATAATAAGATTTGGAGACTCCATAGGAATCCAAATAGGAAGATACTCCAGGGACATGGGCAGAAATTAGATTTTTTTCAGTTACCGTAGGCAAAGGGCTTCATGTTGTTCTAGTCATGCAAATTGCTTATTTGCCGTGTCCCCCTTTGCTGTCCTAGCTGGGCTGTGCCAGTGATTGATGGCCACAAGAGAAGAGAGTGCACACATCCAGGGCTCCTGTTTCCGAGTGCTCTTGATCTCAATTGGCAGAGCGAGTTGGCTCCCTGGGCTTGGCGCAACGGTCTCTGGATGATGGAAGGCAGCCAGGGACAAAGACGCTTTACAGCTGGGAACTTTGCCCAGCCTTCCAACCAGAAGATTCACCCCCTAAAGTTAGCCACATGTCAAATACTAGCAAAAGGCCATACCAAGGAGTCAAAAAGCCTCACACCTGTCCAGTAGGAGCTGAGGCCCAAGGAAAAGACAGGACACCCAGTTGTAGCTGTCAGGTAATGAACTGAAATTGTAACCCAAGTCCTCTCAAAAATGTGACTTCTCCACGCACTTCTACAGACAATGGATGGTGGTCCCAAAGTAGATCCACTAACACTTCAATTACAAAGTGCAACTTCTCGTGGCTTAGCATGAGCTCAGAGGCAGGTAAAAGAAAGTTCACTTTTGATCAGCACCAGTGCAATACACCAGGCGCAGAGCTAGTTACTTCACATACTTTATCTCTTTTAATATAATCCTACAAGGTAGAAACTATTAGTATCCACGTTTTACAGATGAGGAAGTGAAACTCAGAGACATTAAGAAACTTCTCTCAAAATCAAAAGAACACCATACATTCTGAGGCAGAGATTCAAACCCAGTTTGTTCAAATTGCCAAAGTTCTTTCCACCTTACCATTTGGCTTCCTGTTTTCTGTTGTTGAAAGCTCCGTCTCCCCCGGTATATTCCAATTGTCAATTTGTGGAACCTCAGAAGATCTTTGTTTCAATATTCATTTAATGCCTGCTTGCTCCACTGGATGGTGAGTCTTGTGAAGGCAGGGACAATCCAGTGAGAAAGACAAACATTCAACAGATGATTTCATCATTCCCTTGACCATCCACCCCAGAAAGTGTCTCCCCGTTTCTATATCCTTTTCCCATCAAATTCTACCTAAAAGAATAGAGATGTCAATCACTGCCTGCCCATGCATGCCTCCTCCTGGAGTAATCTACCCTCAACCATGAACCATGTCACCCACCCCCACCATGGCCATAGTTGATTGGCCCAGGAACACACCCATAACTCATGAGTGGCCAATCCAGAGGCTGATCTACCTCTCTGGATTTGCATCTGAGCTGGACAAAATGAGAGGAGCCAATCAGAGCATCTCATGACCCTGAACTAAGAACACAAAGGGAAGTTCTCAGAGAGCAGTGATATTGAAAGAGATGGGGTGATGGTTGGTGAAAGTGATGAGCGTCAGCCTTGAAGTTAAAAGAGAAAGAAACTATAAGGAGCAGTGGAGGAAGTATGCTGGGAAGAAGAGAAAGGAAGAGATGTACGGATAGAGGCAGAGAAGGGACACAACAGCCAAAGAGGAACAAACAGTATCCAGGACCTGGAGTTGCCTTATTCCAGTCCTTCCTGAAGCCTGCTTCTCAATGTTTCTCTGGTTTCCTAAGTGCATGTGTCCTTTCCATTGACAACGAACTCCTTTTTTACTTAAGGGAACTTAGGTGAAACTCTTTGCAATTCAAAAAAAATTTTTTTTCCTTCAACCCATTTCTGCAGAGCGCTGATTCTGGTGCTGATGGAGGTGGTCACTGGTTGATAGTAATTCTCAAACTTCAATGTATGTTAGAATCACTGGAATGCAGAATTTTAAATGCAGGTTTATGGGCCCTAACCCCAGATATTCTAAGTTGGTGGGTCTGGACCAGACCTGTTTTTTCAGGTAATTCTGAGGCAAGTGCTCTAGAACTCAAATTTGAAAAACTCTGCATCTATTTTTTTTTTGGTAAATTGTCTTATGAAGTAAATATCACACATGATAAAACTGCTTTGCCCAGTAAAAGTCTATATGATTCCAGGATGTATTAGTCAGCTTTTGCTGCATAACAAACAAACCAAAATTTCGGGCACATACAAAACTAAGCATTTACTTCTCAAATGTACATCTCAGCTTTAGGTCTGTTCTGTGAGGCCTGGGATAGAACAGCAGCAGCTGGCTGAGATATGTTCTGGTCACTGAAGAAATCAGGAATTCCCAGAAGGGCAAGCAGAAACTATGTTTCTTATGACCCAGGCTTGGAACTGGCACACTGAACTTCTCTCCACATTTCAAGCAGGCCACTGGCCACATCCAACATCAGTAGAGTAGGAAAGTACCTTCCTCTCACAAGAGTGTGGGCAGTGGGAGAAAGGACCATAATAATCTCAACTACAGCAAGGGTCAGGCAGCCTCATGGTGGTACCTTTGATTCAGGGTGGTCACTGGGTAGTACTAGGATCACACCATCCTAATTGACACTCAAAGGACCAATCTTAATCAGCACCTTTCCGCACAGAGCTGTTTCTCTTGAATGCCAGGAACCAACTGAAAGAGTAACACGATAAACCTAGCACCACATGCCTTCTCTTTTGGATAAGAAGGGCCCAGGTGAACTCAAACACTTCTCATCAATGTCTCCATAATTTGTCTCCATTTCAGAACATTTCACAGGCTTCAAAAAGATACTTTCTGTCTCCTTGCTTCTCTTACTTGCTCTAATAATTTTTACATGTGCTACAACATGTAAGGGCATAGTTTGCACTGATTTATCAATAGAGTAACCTTCCAGATTACCCATCACCACAGAACTATGGAAACTCAAAGGAAAAAGGCATAGCTCTGCCAGTGGGGGTCAGAAATAATAGATTCACAATTTAAAAATGGGTCTTCAAAGTTAAGAAACCCCACATACACAAAGATGTACAAATGCAGAACATTCAGCTCTAAGCAGTCTTTCCAGACACCGTTTCTTCCATCACAAAAGCAAGGACAATTAAAACCTTCTCCTTTCTAAGATGCTACTGCTCTATGTTACCAAGAGTCTAGCTCAGAAAGTCAGAGGACAAACCTGTGTCTGTCAGATTCTTTCATCACCCGGCTCTGCCAATTAAGAATGTTGATGCTCATTCATTCATTCAACAAGTATGTACTGATCATCGACTATGTGCCAAACAAGGTAGGATGTATTAGGAAAATAGAGATCAACATGAAGCTGAATGGTTACTGAAGAGAGACTTCCAGCAATTGATTACACGCAGGTTTAAACAAGTGAGAGGCACAAGATGTAAAAGTTACAATTCTTTGTTCTACTTTTTAGTTTTCATGAAGATTTTCCCATGTTGTTAAGGATTTTTGCTTATTGCATTTTTAATGATATCAGTGAAAAAAGAGAGAAATATTTTCAATTTAGAACCATGCACTCAAGGAAGCCTCTAGTGGACAATCCACCCTTGGTGGTGGTGGCGGGGGGAGAGTTGCTGAAGGAACCTCACTCATCTACCTAAGAAGCTAGCAAAAATCTAGACTGTGAATGTAAAGGCACCATATTCCACGTGCCCCAACTGGCACCTCTGTGACAGCTTCACAAGAGACCAAGGATGTAGGATCCTGCTAGCTGTAATCATGGTGTTGATGCTTGTCCTTCAAGTCCCAACGTGAACCCTAGAGGTTCAAGGGAGTGTGGATGCAGGAAACTGACAAGGCTTTGAGTAACCTTGTCTGTACTTCCTTGGCTTAGTTAAGGGAGAAGTCCCCACATGCCCCTAAGTGTATTTCTCCACCTTCCTCTCCAACACATACAGTTACACAACTCTGGCTCCTTCCCCAAATGACCCCTGGTTCCCACATCAGGAACCACTCTGATCCAGCTCCATCAGCTACTGGCCCCAGTCCCAACCCTTGCCTCTGCTTCCTCAAATGAACTGGGAATGCAGATGCAAGACTTCAGATGTCCCCTCTTCTCGGAAGAGGCTGCATTATAAAAACAACCACTCCTGCTCTGCCAGCCACGTCTCCTCTCATGTCTCTCCCCAACCCCCACACTCTTCTCTTTCTAATTATCCCAAAGAGAAGGAAGATGAAAAATTAATGCCCTGAGGATGAGAGTTAGAGATGTCATTATTTTGATTCAAACCGCAGGCATGGAAGAATCTGATCTAAGCTTTAGGAGCAAAGTAACCTAGGACAAGATTAGGAAAATCTTGATTAATTGGAACTCACCTCTAGGTCACCAGAATTTTTTTCCTTGGTGCTGAGATTTTAGGGGATGCCACAAAGTGCCAAAAATGAAAGTCATAAAACATACTCAAGCAAAATGCAACTTGTGGGGTTTGGGGTGAGGGTGTTGGAGTCACACAAAAGGTTTAGTTAGCTTAATCCTTACACCCCAGAGTTCTATAAATTGTAAATTAATGTGAAGGACGATGAGGTCAAGGAAGTTCCTACAGGATTTTGACACAAAGGAAGACTTGGTTGTTTGCATCAACAGCACTTCTAAAGCAGGAAAGCAGACTTTCTTTGAGGAAGATGTGCAGTAACAAAAGTTTAGAAGTAATTGTACATGATCTTCAGTTAACTGGAAAAGTAAACTCAAATAAACTAAAAATCATCACACATATCCCCCACTCTCAATTTTATTCCCCAGATACGCCACTTAGAGGGTTTTGCTAAACGAGGAAAGGGAAACAGGGTAAGCATTATAATAGATATCATTTAATACTTCATTGTGTGCTAAGTCCCGTGTTAAATCCTTCCACTGCATTATACCTCATAATCCTCACCAAAGATTTTATTATTATCATCCTAATTTTCAAGATGAAGAAGCAGAGCCTAGAAAGGATAAATGAACAATCCATGTACTAAAGCCCCAAAGTTATGTTCTTAACAACTTTACCTAGTTTAAGAAAGGAATGAATGGTCAAACAATACAGGCCAACAGGAGAAGTTCAAGTTCTCTAAAGAGTTCTCTAAAGAAATCAGGTAAGTAAAAGGCTTGAACAAATATGCCAGCCCTACACTGGATACCTACATAGGATGCCAGCTGGAGAGTTGGCACTGCTTACTCCCTCTTATGCTTACTCCCTCTAATCTCAGCCCTCCTTTGTGCTGAGGACTCAGTAATTTGGTTCCTGGAAGCCAGCTGGGACAGAGCTGGAAGTCAATCCATTTTACTTATTTCAGAGCTATCCTCATGCAATTTATGTGTATCTTGCAAACAAATGGGGAGAGGCCATCTGTGAGGTGCCTGAATTATTGTTCAACTTCTATGAATAAAAAATAACCCAGCTTTTTTTCCAGTATCTTTAAAGTCGGGTCCAAGAAATGCCAAGATTTCTTTCCCATTGAAAGTTAAACTAAAATAACAAAACATCAGCATTTGTCTCTGCTGACTGAGGAAGGTGGTTTTATTCCCTAGCAAGTGACCTAGACTGCAGGAGAAGAGGACGAGACACCTTCACCCTCACCCAGTTGTTCACACATTGTGTGACGTTGGGCAGGTCACTTCACCTGTCCCTGCCTCATTCACTTCATCTACCAAGTGGAGACAGTGTTAACTGCTCTATTATGACCACTGTAGGAGATCACAGGACATCCGGGGTATGTTAGACAGTCATGACCCAATGCACCACTGGGCTGTTAGACACCATTCTACCAGACACAGTGGGGAGGCTCTGAGCTTGGAGACTCCTGGGATTCATGCCATCTGGGACATGAGTCCACCATATCCAGCTGCTGGCCAGTTTCTATTCCTCATATTCTATTCCTTGTCTCTGTGCCCATTTCCTCCTTCCCTTTGTCTAAGCCCTGGAATAGCATTACCAAATACATCACTACTGTGGTCTCCTAACTGGTCTTTCTGATTCCAGGCTCCCTCACCTGCACTGCCCCCCTCATCTCTTCCTATCCACCTCAATTTATTCCAGAATCTTCCCAACCACGATTTCCAGGGAATTCTCCAATTCTGATGCCTCCAGCAGTTTCTCAATACCTACAGGACAAAATCCCAACTGTTCCCATGGACTGTCCAATTTCTCCATTCTCTGTTCTCATCCTTTTCAAGCATGTATTTTCTCAACAAATATTTGCTAAACACCTACCAGGCATCAGGCAGGGGGTTGGATGCTGGGGAACTGACCTTGTGTCTGCTCTCCGGGAGCTTACAGTCTAGGTTGTTGTAGGTAAAATGTCTTAAGCCAACTCACTCTCTCTCTCTCCTCTCTCTCTCTCTCTCTCTCTCTCTCTCTCTCTCTCTCTCTCTTTCTCTCTCTCTCTGCCACTATATTAATCTGCCAGGGCCATCATAGCAAAATACCATGGACTGGGCGGCTTAAACAACAAACATTTATTTTCTCACAGTTCTGAAGGCTTGAAGTCTAAGATCAAGGTGTCAGCAGATACAGTTTCTCCTGAGGCTCCTCTCCCGGACTGGCAGGTGGCCCCCTTCTGGCTATGTCCTCATATGGCCTTTCTTCTGTGCACACACATCCCTGGTGTCTCCTCCTCTTCTAAGTATACCAGTCCTATCAGTTTAGAGTCCCACCCTTATGACCTCATTTAACCTTAATTATCTCCTTGACAATGGGCCTGACTCTAAACACAGTCACATTCTGATATACATGGGGGTTTAGGGCTTTAACATGTGAACTGGGGGCAGGGGACACAATTTAGGCCACCCTGTGAGATGCTATGGCTGGCTGGCATACAGTAGGGACTCAATAAACAATATTGGAATGAATGAATGAATAAATGGGACTGATCTTGTGCTATCTCACAGTCTCTGCATTGAAATGGAAGCAGAGCATTGGCCTGGCCCCCCACTCTACCTGAACAAGGCCCCAAAACTGACTGAACTGAGTTGCATCTGGTACAGTCTCTTTCCATTCTTTAATGACATGTGAAATGTGCTGTAGAATTCCTCAGTGTCCATCCACTGAGCGTCTGGCTAATACCCGCTCCAGTCGTGCCAGGAAGACAGGTGAGTCATCCAGGCAGGGAGCTGTCAGGAGGCAGATCAACCTGTAACTGTGGCTACCTTTGGCTACAAAAGGGCAGCAATGCACATGAGCCCAGGAGGAAGAGCAGGCATCTCAGCTCATCTGGAAAGAGTTCAGGGAGCTGGGGTTGGAGCTACATCTTTCCCTGACATGTGAGCATCCATCCGTCCAGAGCCTTAACCACACTGTCAGCATGTCAGAGCTCAGATCACTAAGAGGAGAATTCCTCTAAAGAAGCTCAGCCTCACCACAGCCAGGTAACTCTGATTTGAGGAATGAGATGGACATAGTTCCCAGATGAATAAACAACTGTAAGATGTCACAAAAGCCAATCCCGCCAAGGAGGATGTATGCACACAAGTGTGTGTATATGCTTATGTGTATCCGTGTAGATACAAGTGCACAACTAAAAGGAAGTTGGAAAAAAACTATTTTTAGAGCAAAATCCAGTTGAAAAAGTTCAGAGATATAATCCTAAGGTGAGGTGAAACTACAATGAGGTGCTGGAGTCTAGCAAACAAAATAAGCTGTGGAATCTTGGAGAAATCCCTTAATCACAGCTTTTGTATCTGTAGAATAGGTTAATAATATCTACATCAAGGGCTTGGGGGAGATACAAATGAGATAAAATGAATGCCTAGTATACTCTCCGGCACATGGCAGCTGTTCAGTATGTTGGTTACTTTCCCAATCCTTGGCCTATTTCCTAACCCCTCTGAAGGATTCACTAATTTTAGTCATATGTGCTTAGAAAAATTACCTTAAAATATGTGTGTCTTGTTTTCCTTCTTTGTCCTAAAAGAAATAACTATTTTTCTTTCACTGATGCAAACCAAGTGAAAGAACACTTTGGCCGTGAGA